CGAGTGTATTAAAGACAGAAAAACTTTTGGAATGACTTTGAGGGGGGAATACTCGGGTTTTCAGAGACTGAGGCTACTTTGAAGCAATTTATTCAAATGCTGCTCATTGATGGTTCTAGATCAAACTTGTGAAAGGGCAGCAATGTTGGGTTTGTAGCCATTATGTCAATTTTTCCCATTAAAGAAGATTGAGAAAAATCAGGCTTTTGGCAACAGAGAGATGTTAATTCCTTTTTTTTAAATTGCTTCTTAACTCTATTTCCCCATTTCTGTATTTCATTAATTTAGATAAATCTCTTTGTTGTTCTTGCACTGTCACCTCCAAATCCAGACTAATTTCCTCAAACCATGGGAGTTTTCAGCTCTTTTGGCTAGAAGAAAATTGATATTTTCTTTAGTGCAGTTGCCTTACATTGTCTTCATACATGCTCCTGGGGAGGAAAGCTATGGCAAATCTAGACAGCATACTAAAAAGCAGAGACATCACCCTGCCAACAAAAGTGCGTATAGTCAAGGCCATGGTTTTCCCAGTTGCAATGTATGGATGTGAAAGTTGGACCATAAGAAAGGCTGAGCGACAAAGAATTGAGGCCTTTGAACTATGTATGGTGCTGGAGAAGACTCCTGCTAGTCCCCTGGACTACAAGGCGATCAAACCGGTCAGTCCCAGAAGAGATCAACCCCGACTGCTCTTTAGAAGGCCAGATCCTGAAATTGAAACTCAGGTACTTTGGCCACCTAATGAGAAGGAAGGACTCACTGGAGAAGAGCCTATGCTGGGAAAGATTGAGGGCAATAGAAGAAGGGGACGACAGAGAATGAGGTGGCTGGATGGAGTCCCTGAAGCAGTAGGCGTGAACTTAAATGGACTCCAGAAGATGGTAGAGGACAGGAAGGCCTGGAGGAATGTTATCCACGGGGCCGCGATGGGTCGGACACGACTTCGCAACTAACAAGAAGAAGAAGAAGTGCAAACCAGAATAAGGTGGATCCCTAATCCTGCTTGTGGTTTTTGCCAAGTGGAAATAGTCGAAGGGCTTCTCTGCATGTAGAAATATTCCTGCTTGTTTTTCATGGTTTCAAATATTCCAAAATATTGAACACAATTATCACATTATTCTTCAACCATCTTTTAGGTAAAAAAAAAAGACCTCCACAACTTTATTAGAGGTTATCTGATACCTCTTGCTGTTTCCTCAATATTTCTGTTCTGGTATTGGGCCAAGTCTCTGGACCTAGCCCTCTTTCTGACTGTTCTACCTTTTCCATCCCTGCTTTTCTTTGGAAGGCTCCAGTGACCGGTCTGATTGCTCCCTCCAGAATGTTGGCTGTTGATTGCAAAGCCTTGCAGTCTGTGAGGGCCAAATTCCCTTCTTTAGTAGTTAATATTTGTTTTCGTATACAGTCCCCCCTTCAGTCAGAGCTGATCCCACCACTGCCACCAATTTGTCATGGGTTATTTTAAATCATACCCTATTTCAGTGATGGCGAATCTTTTAGAGAGCGAGTGCCCAAAACCCGCCCTGCCCCCTGCCCCACCCTGCCATGTGCCCCGCTGCACCCCCCACGCTGCCCCTCACTCCACCCACCCGCAGGGCCACTCACTGCCTCCATGGCCCGCCACAGATTGCTCAGGTGGCCCAGCAGCGCCATGGCAGCCACGCCCTCCGCCCGCGCCCCGCAGCAACTGCATGCGATGGTGCGAGGGCGGAGTCTTGACCCCGACAGGCTGCGCTGCTCCTTGTGGGCCATGCCCAGGGGTGGCTCTCCTCCAGGGGGGCTAATGGTGAGGAGGGGGCCGCATGGGGAGGCGGGGCTGGGGCACGGCGCACGTGCCCACAGAGAGGGCTCTGAGTGCCGTCTCTGGCACACGTGCCATAGGTTCGCCACCACTGCCCTATTTGATTGACTTGAGCTCAAAAGATCCATCAAAAGTCCTGGATTTGAGACGATTCAAATTTTCTGTCTCCCAATACGGGTTGTGGAGACATGTTATTTTGAAAAAATACCCAAGGTACAAAAATGAAACATACAAACAGCCTGTAAGTTGTTTCGATGTCTAGATCCCTGGCATGGCTTTGCAGAACTGGCTCAAGGGTATTTTCTGTTTTTGGGCAGAGGGCCAGAGAAGATAGTAGCAGCCTGAATCTGAGACCTTGTCAAGCAGCTGAACTTTGGAGAGGAGCTAAGAAACATTCAAATTTCTCTATCTTTACCTTCTTTACCATGACCAGGAGTGTGCTGGACCAATATGTAACTCTGACCAGAGCATACATTTAGCATTTTAAG